ATTAGCATCTGGTAGTGATGATAAGTCTATCCGTCTATGGGATGTCAAAACTAGGTAAAAAATTAAATCCAGTGATAAAACTTATGAAGGTAGCATTAATATTTTTCTATTTTTAGTTTCAAATTACATCACTAAACTTTCTATATCCTAATAGTCAATATTCTAAGCATAAGGAACGCTTATTTTTAAAGGAGAGCTTATAAATCAATCAGGTATAGATTTAAAGACATTGTTTAAATAAAAAGGTAGTTGCTTTTTATAAGACTTTTAGTAAAAGTGAACATGATTATTCATTAACAAAATTACAATTATAATTCCAATTATGATCTAATATTTTTTTATTTTTTCTTTATCAGATTCTACTCTTCATCTTCACTTCTAAAGCTAGTTAAGTTCTTATTTTTAAAGTTTTTTTTTATTTCAATTTATAGTGATTATTTATTTAAATATCATAAAACATGTTTTAAATGTGACACATTTTAAAATAATTTATTTTGACTTCAACTTTTTTATCACTTTTTCAACCTCAACTTATCCTCTCATTCTATTTTTTACTACTTCAAACTAAATACCAATATTAGACTTTCAATGTACAATTATTTTAATTATATACATAGTTGAAATAGTTCATAAACTGTCAATGATTAGCTTACATCAATTAATATTTCTCTAAGATTACTTTAAGTGATTTTAATGATTATATTAATTTACACACTAATGACTTATTGAGTTCTACTTTGTACATGATATCTCTCATTTTTCTGATTCATTCCAATCATGCCCTTTATTCTCATTTTGTTCTTATTGTAATCAGTTGTACTACAATGCTTAGAAAAATAAGTAATTTTATTAAAAAAATATTGAGCTTCATATGAAGTTGATATATTATTTGTTATTTTTGCAATAATCAAAAATTCTATCCTCTTAAGCATTTCATGATGTTTAGAAACACTTTAGAGCAATATTTGCCAATTTCTGATTGGTTATGCTCTTCATGCTTTTATGAATTTCATTATTAACAGCAATAATGGTTCGACAATCCTGTGAAAAAAGATAACTTTTGATATCTCTCCAGATCTTCTCAATAGGATTCAAGAATGAAGAACTTTAGAAAGATGAAAATAAATTTATTTTAAGTTTTAAGAAAATTCTAATTTTTTAATGCAAAATTGAGTCCATTTCTTAAACTGAAGAATTTGTAAAAATCAAAAACAATTTTCAAATATGTTATCATTTAATTTAAGTTAATTAAAGATTGAACAAATTAAAGCTTAAATTAAAATAAATTTCTTTTAAGGAGTCTTTTTAAAATATTTTAGCAGCTCAATCGGAGGAATCGTAATAGTTATATGAAGTTATCAATTTGGTTTAGCTTCTCATTAATGTA